CACTAATGAATATACACCAATATTTATGTGTCATTGATCTGGGGAAATAGGTTAGGCAGACCATGTAAAAGGACGTACAAACCAGTGATTGTATGTTATATTGGTGAAATCTCTTTGATATCATTCTCTAATTAATTAACTGCCTACTATTAATTATTGGCTTAAAAACCTTTGTCTTTTGATGATTCCAAAAGTTATACGTATAAAAAATCTGGATTAATGAGTGCATATGGACTCTTACTGCCATTTCCTGGGCTAAAATGCATTGCTCGGTTAAAGAAACAATATTGAAATGTATATTTTTGTTCCATGGAAACAAATACCTTATTCGGTTCTGTCTAATAGTTTATAATAGTTGAAATGGACTGATTTAATTTGTCAAAAACAATAAAATCGATGTGCAATGACTGCACCTTATCTTTATTAAATATGTTATTGCAAGATTGGAAAAGTTCGTGATTTATCTGCTTGAGCTGCTTGTGAGATGATAGGTACTTTCCCCATTTGTGTAAGAATGCAAGATTCACATCTGAAAAAAAGATAATTTATATTGGTACTTTGGAGACCATATTTTTTATTGACATGATATCTGACCATAAACTGATTTGCCTTGTTCAACTTTATAAAGCCAAAGTAATATTCATTCTTTTACAATTGTGCACTTTGGGCTTTTAGCAAAATACAGTTTTAAATGAACGAGAAGTTTGCACACATATACGTTTTCTGTTGAATCTGGCAAGAACGGGCTTCTAGCTAACTCATCCAGCATGTCAATCAACTTTAACCGACCTTGGTCAAGCTGGCGATAGCTACATCGCTTAAAGAGTTCGCAATCCAACTTTGTCGGAAGCATAAAATTCAGACTCAAAAGGAATGCATGCTTGAAAGCCGAAATACTGATGCATGAAATCTGATTTCGAAATTAATTATTTGTAAATCTTTGTAATTATGCAGATATGGAGAAGAATAAAACATAAAAATACGGAAAAACTCATGAATTAAGACTTATGTATTTACCTAATTCTCATCAACATGAAAACAACTTCAGTAAAGAAAACAACAAATGCATCAAAGAATAATTTTTTTAATAACAAATAGTGCTTTACTAAGATGGTGTTTGAAAGCTTTCAAGTTAAATCATTTTAGAAGATTGCAAAAGCATACTTAAGTCCCATCGAAAAAGTAAATAACAAGTACAATAAAATGATAAGAGTTCCTCCAAAGCATCATATATGCAAATTTTGCGTTTAGCATGCACATTAAAATCTAGTTCTTGACGCACATAAATAGGTTCTAATCTTTCCTACCTTATCATCTTCACGGTCATAATTTACTTGATGACAAACGTCAATATTTGAGTGTTTAATTTAGTGATGGAATCAGTTGAAGAAAATATATTTTGGTGTGATAAATTGTGAGTCATTTATTATCATGGCGTGGTGTTTTTGAAATGTGTCGCAAATATTTCATGAGATTTTGAATTTATTTAGCTAAAGGCGATCAATACCATCCTGAAACTTACTTATCAAAAACTTGATATATGAAGATCTTCAGTTTGTTTGATGTCAAACATTTTGAAGATATATGAAGAAAAACGATTTTGAGAGATTGATCTCCTTTTTTACATGGTGAGAGGATCACACTAAACTACTTTATATTCGAATACAAATTTCTAAACTTTACTTTAGCATGATTCGAGAGGCATCAAGGAAAGCCAATAATTGATAGTTTGTTCCCCGGGAAAGTGTAACCGAAGTTTTTGTACGCCAACACATAATGTTTACAAATATTGAGAGATACTGGTGATTACTAGAGAACATTGCCTACTCATAAAAATTATTGTATGGCAAATAAAGCTGATACATCTCTAGTGGGCCTTGATGGTTCTCTCAACAAAGGTCCAAGAGGGTGGACTTTTGTCTTTCTACAAGAAAGCAACGGATTGAAAAATAAAATAAAGTAGAAGTTAAATCAAAGAATGTAATTTTATTTGAGCTTGGATGCGCAGCTACAAAACAAAACAGTGTGTTTGACAGTATTATTCACTATTAAAGGAGCTCTTGGTTTTAGAAAAGCAAGGTTAGGATATATTTAAGATATATTTGTGTTGTCAAGCGAAATTTTAACTTTTGTAGCATTGGCACAGGTCCTGAAACTTAGTCTGATCACAAATTTACAGATTAGAGAGGAACACTAACAAAGAAGTACACAACTCCGTGAATGAAAAAGCTCATTATAACAGGACTTCTGAGAAGAAGGCAAAACACCTGACACTAAAAGACTCTGAGAAGTTCCTGTATCCCTTAACAACTTAATAGGTATAGGATTGGCCGAATCACTCAAGAGTGATATAGAACCCTATGACATAAATGGTTCATAATTCTCCATAATCAAATCATGCTGGGGTTTATTAGACCAACAAATGTATTGCTTTCAATACATGACCGTGACCTTGTCCTCTTAGAAATAAGAGAATGTGGAATATGTCTATCTTGATTCTGATGCCTAGATTTCAATTTGACGCATTCTGAAATGATGTGTACTTTTTGCAATATTTGCACGTAGGCAGAGACAATGAATTTAAATCAAGTCTCTCAGAGGCTTAATTTTTAGAATTTGTTCCATATTGAGTTTTACTGAAAGTGATATTAGGCTGAAATACCTTCCTAACAGTAGACTGCCGAGTGAATGTTTTGCTTACAACATGAACTTTATGAGTCAAGGAATATTCATCGGCAGCAAGAGCAGCATTTTCCAAGGTCTCAATCGTATGCTATTCTTAATTCAAGATGATTCTTAATTCTTAGGAACACAGTTTTTTTAATTCTTCAAGCAACACAAGTTGTTCGAGACTTTCATAATAATGTTCAACTTTCTTGGCTAAGCACCATCTCTTTAATAACTGTTCTTTTCTCTATCAAATTTGACATAAGTCTGTCCAGCTTCGTCTTTTCAAAGTTTCTGAATTTTTTCCGATAAGCCTCAGGGTCTAACGCATAACCACTTAATGTGCACTCCTTACCAAATCATCATTCGAACTCTGTTGTACTGACAAGGATGCATAGATATTTCGAGCTTTGCCGAAAAGTACACATTGCAATAATTGAGTCCAATGGTTCCTTGGCCAATTCAAACAATTTTCAGCAACTTTTTCAAAATAGATAAAATATTGTCTGCTTCCATTTCACTAAAATTGGTAACAAACCTGATATTTTTTGTAATTTCAAAACTTGACTCTGTAAAGAGGAATCGTGTTTGCCACTTGCCAGCTGAATGTATTTCGGTCTAAGTTTAAATTCCCTTTCATCCTTCTCTCTTTGCATCTCTCTCTCCTCTTTTACAAATTGTAATTGTTTATCTTTCTCCTTCTCCTGTCTTTCTCTTCTTTCTCAAATTGTAATTGCAGCTGCATTTGTTTCTCTTTTTCCTGAAACTCAAGCCACCTTCACTCTACCTCCATTTTCATTTTCATTTCCATTACTTTAATGTCAGTGTCTGTCATAGTCTTGCTGACTGATGCCAAAACACTTTTTATCAAAAACACTTTTCCCAACCAAATATTGGATCAAAATATTTTTAATTTCTCCCTTATTTAAGAAAGATTTTGCTACAGAAAGATCGTACGTTTTGGCAAGTTCAAGCAACTCATCTTTCTTAGGAACATCCAACTGCTGTGTAGATGGATTATAAAGAAATATTTTCACTTTTGATGACATTGAAAATGAAAGCCTGTTGTTTTCAATTAAGATTTCAAATAAAAATGTAAAATAGGACTTCGGATTTAGAAACAAGGGGAAACTTAAATTTCAGAAAAAATTTTCCGAAATAGTTAACCAAACTTCATAAATCCAAGGACTAACGTTCCAAATTCTTTGTTACGTGACAAGGGCTCGTACTTAGTACCAAAGAAAAGAGTGAAAGCCAACAAGTTTTGTAAATTTTAACAAAACAATTTATTTCCCTAGACAACAATGTAAAAATTGGTAAATAGGACTTACTGTTTCTGAATATAATCCAAATATGATTATAAGATTAAAACACGTCATATCACTAAATAGTCCTATTAGAATCCAGGTTCGAGTCCTGACGACGTACGAATATGGAGGGAGAGGATTCCAGATGTAGTCCAATGTATGAATATCAACAATTCTTTACTTGAATCACAATCTTTAAATCCGAATAATTCTATAATAAACTACCATGAATATCTTCAGAATTTGTTTATAAGAAATTCAACTTCTTGAGTGTACAGGAGAATAAATTATTGAATCCAAAAGTCAGAGGAAGAATAAAATATTCTGGCAACAAATTAACAGTAATACACCTTGTTACTTCAAGGTTTTGAATGACTCTCCCCAAAACAATATTAAGAATGCGTATTTAACCTCCAAACATGACTTCAAATCTCGCGCGATTGGTCATGTGGTCTCTTACTATGCTAATTTTTACACGTAGGCCAATGTCACTCCGTTTTAAAAAAATCAATCATTAAAAGGTTGTTTTCAAACAGTGATCACGGAAAGAAAGTATGTCCGTGATACTGACCAATCATTTTAGCTTTCTGTTGATATTGTTACCAGGGAAAGACCGACTCAATGTTAATTCTCACGTAATACATCTTCGTCTCGAATAAACAAACTTTGTGCTAAAATTAAATTTCAATACTAAAAATAGAATCCAGAATCCGAGAAAAATATTCATTGCAATTAAATACAATGAAACAAAAATGAAAACAAAAGAATTTTAAACCATGCACACAAGGAATTGAATCACATACGTTAACAATATACTTTGCACCGTGGCCGAAATGAACTAAATCGAACGTTGAAAATATCATACCATTTGTGTTTCATGCGGTTTAAACTTGTAAATGTTTTGAAAAACAATGGTAAGTCTAGATATTGTTTCAACTATGCAGTTTTGTGCCAGTCTTAACACTAACCTCCTAATGCTGAGCGTCAAGCGAGGTAGCTGGTAGTACCATTTTTATGCCTTTGTTATGACTCGGCCAGGGTTCGAATCCGCGACCGCCCGCATACGAGACGGACGCTCTAACCACTAGGCCACCGAGCGGTTTAAAGCTATGTCATATGCGCAAGTGGAATAATACTTATTATTACATGCTCTTTTTTCTGCGTTAACTTTACATTGTCAGAATCGTTCAGTAAGGTGATATATCATTCATTTATTATTGTAATGAATATTGACTGTATCACTTCGAGACGATTATATTCTGAACAATATAGAATGTTAATAATATACTGCTTAATTTAAAAAAGTTTAAAGATTGTTATCACGTTTATTTTAATACTGTAAGTAAATATTGTCTTTTGAAACAGGAAATTGGTCAACACATGCGCGCGCATTAACACCCTGAATAGACGCGTACTGGACAGAACACTATTGGTACCTTTATTCTATATATTTGCTTTGTATGCCATGTTTAAAAGAATCACATCATAGTATGTTTTAGAAAAACAAAAAATGTATATGCCAGAAAAAAACAAAGTTAGTTAAATTTTACTACTTTCAATTGACTATAACCCCATTATAATTTTATGATAAGTTTAAAATCAGATGAAGACTTGTTACAAGATAAAGTGATTTATTTTTCATGCATCATTGGTAGAGTTCACAATTCATGTTCAGTTGCCTTAAATATATGTTTAAAGGTACTTAAGCATAAATCTAAATCTGTTATTATGTTTCTTATATGATGACATAATTGCATTTCTAAGTAATGTTCAAATGCTTTTAAATGTGTTATAGATTTCCTTTTAAATGCATGGAAATTAACCAAGACAAAAATCCAGAATAAACGTCATGAGCAAACTCAAACTGACATTAAATTTTCAGAAAACTATACAAGACGAATTGAAAGTTTTAGAAAACTTGTTCACAATATTTTTTATACAAACTGATGTCTTATAGTTGAAAGGGAAAGAGAACAAAAGAAAATAAAATAGAAGAAACCTCTATAGCTCCTCACGCTATAACAAGTTCGAACAAAAAAATCCATTGATAAACGTTGTTTTGGTCTGTCGATGGCTTTAATATTAAGTCTATAGTTACAAAACAAGACATAGAACCTCAACAAGTATCACAAACATATTCTTTAATAGCACGCATAGATTTTTCAGCTTTAATTCACTAAAATATACATAAATAATGCTGGAAAAATGGGAACACAGACACTGTTTAAGAATCTTTGATGACGTGCTTTTGAAGAAGATATTAAAGATGACATTTATAACCACCATCGATGAAGATTTTGAATGAAGTAATGAAGATTTTTATTCTAATTGTACTTATCGATCTTACAAAACGACTTTTTACTCGCTGCATTTTAGAAAATAAGCCTAGGAAATATTAAATGAATAATAAATGTCAGAAGAATTATATACCTCCTTTAAAAACTTAAGCTGATATGTTAACGTTTTCTCTCCAAACCAATAAGAAAGAAATCATTACTGGTATGATAATTGATAACAGTTAAAATGGAAATAATAAGAACAATAAACACAAGCACAAGTCTTATTACTTACGTCTTACCGTTTCTTTAATAAATTATATAATAAATAAGAGAAAGTTTGTAACAAACAAAAACCGTATTTATTACCTTCGTTACCATATGCCCAATGGTCTTTAATTTAAATAAAAGATAACGTCACAAAACTATTTTAGTTACAGAAATCGATGACTATAGAAGTGTTTTAAACAAAACGCATAAGTAATATATAAAGTTTTGAATCTGTTAATTGTTACCGTGACAACGATTCATGACAGCAGGTCTCATTGTTACAGCAAGATTTATAAGTCTATTAATATAGTCTAGGTAAGGATTGGAAGAAAAAGCTTAGAGAAAGAAAGATACTAAATCACAATGTTGAAATATGAGATAGAGACCATGTATTATGTAAATTTAACGGCACGATCAACAAAGCAAAGCGTTATGTTGATCTTCATGATAAGGAGTTTACTTAAACGTTATTGAAAATAGAACATGTTAGTGGGTTACAGGTGATGTTAAAAAAATATAATCCACAAACTGCTACTATCTTAAATAGCTACAGAAAACATGTTAGAAACAGCAAATGATTTTAAAGAGACACCGATTGCGAACATAGTCTATTATGATACAAAGAGAAAAGGAATCCAGCACAATATTCCAAGAAAATCTTCAGCTATTATTTTTATATAAATGAAAAGATAGGATTAGATAATACACTATACGTAGTCACATCAATCCATTTTCACATTCATCATCTGGATAACGTTACCTTTAACATTAACATTACATATGCTTCCAAAGGTACTGTTTGCAATATTACTCTTTTTCATATCTTAACTGGTGGATACTATTAACAGCCATACCATTTCGTTCATGATGCTTAAGAAGGCAAACCAGTGCTTTCAAATCAGGAGACTAATCGAGTCCGTAAGGTGAGGACGAAAGTATAAGTCTGACAAGAAAGATATCTGTGGATTTATCTATGACATTAGGTGTGAAGGACAGGGTTAACATCAGTGCCATAACGACTATATTTGGAAACGGAACGAACATTGAAAGCGAGATTTAATGAGTATAGATGACCAAATTCAAGCTCGTCTGAAGTATTACTGCACTCACATGATGTTTTCCCAGGTTATGCTGTAACTTGAAACTGAGTAAAAAGTCTAGATCGAGAACAAGTCTGGTTTAAGTAGAGGGTTAAAGAACTGATCTGAATCAGTACGCACAAACCGACGCTGAACAAAGAAGGGGTTCGTTACATCCTGTCACATATCTGGGATAATCTGTTGACATATTCACCATTCCATTGAGCGATATTAACAGACGGTAGAGATTAAAACACTCTGCTGATGAAGTTTGTAGCGTGAAGACGAAAGATCCAGGTTAGCTTTCTCGATATTGTGTATGTTATTAATAATTTAAAAATCATTGTCAAATATGAATAATAATAATAATAATAATAATAATAATAATAATAATAATAATAATAATAATAATAATAATAATAATAATAATAATAATAATAATAATAATAATAATAATACACAGTTTAGCTTTCACTAAATTATCAGCAATAATGTTGACTATTTGTAACTGACGAGCTAATTGTTTCCCGTTGGAAATATAGTAAGAAAATAAATCCTTAGAAAGTAGAGTTTGTTTTAATGGAATACAAGCCGTATTATTTTAACCAATTCCCAGTAATCACATACTTCAGTTATTTACAATCCACCCTGACTAAATATTATTGACCTGAGTTACGCTATACAATATAAATAGCATCTAAAACATAATGGGATTTCCTATATGGATACAAATAAACACAAATTAGTATCAGCAAAATCTGATTAACATAATTATTTGTAATGAACTTATCTTTGAGAACTGGGAGTGTATACATCTCCATGCAATATATAAAACCATGATTATAGTTAAATGGATAGCAAATTCACGTACCTTTCATACGAATTCTAATATAATTAAAAAATCTCTCAAATATTGCCACTCACTACATTGTATATCTGTATTATTTCAACGAAACCTCTCTTCACTATGTATGGCTTGTAAGCAAATAAGAGGCATAACAACTGTCGTCGTATCTTTTTTAACAAGTGTCGTTGACTACATAATCTGTTTCTCACTACGCTAGCTCAAGAGAGGTAAATGTTATAATTTCTAAACAGACAATACGTAACGTTATCATCATGTATTAAAACGTAACTGTACTTCAACACAATATGCATCATGTAATCATTTTCCGATTCCAACGACACATGGAAATTAACTTTATTCACAAATAAATAACATACTTCAGATAAACGTTGTGTGTATAATGATATCATCTACATTTTAATATATCTTAAATATCTTTCGTAACGTTAAACTAAATCCTATGTAAAATCAATAAGGTTAATATGTATGTTAAATGATTCAACAATTTTATTTATTTGCGTTTGAATTCTTATTAACGAATAAAGAAAAAAGTTGGGAGAAGTAAAACTTCAATACGAAAATCAGATTGGTTGAATTGTATATTATGCTACCTGAAAAAAATGGATTGGTTTTTGATAAAAGTTTTCTTCAACAACCAAGACTCATAAATTGAGCAGATTTAGCATTTTGGGTCTTTATGACCTCTAACGGGAATGTTATGGTTTATCTACCTTTCTTGCTCAGTTTGCTATGTATTTTGGCCATGCTTTTTCCAAATGATTTCCAATTAGTACAGAATAAACTATATATTTGAATTTAGTTTAACTAGATTATACTATTGAAATAACCTCATTTTTCTTGAAGACGACAGTTTTGCCATTTGAGTACTGGAATGTTTCCCCATTAAAATCCAGTCCCTCCGGCAAACATTAAATGATTGGTCCCTAGCATACACAAAATGTGTAATCCAGTGCTTGAGTTATCCTAAATAATTAGAATAACATAAAGCGTAATGGAATTATTGTAGTGTGTTCTTTGTCTGAACACAACCTCCCCCTTCCTCTCCAATTATTTGGAGATTGTACTTTCACATATACGGTAAAATAATACAAAACTGTCACGAAAACATGATCCGAATTACGATAAATCAATTTAAAAGTGTCATAATCTAACATAAATCAGTGGTAATAAATTATTTTTGTCTTCTGAGTTTGACGCAGAAGCACTGCTAAATAGAAAAAAAAATTCATTGAATGTAAATACTGTATAAATTTGACAAAATGTTGATTGCACAACATGCTCTCATAACATGCATTACCATCACTCGACGACAAAAATGATGGTGAAGTTGGGTCCTTAGTAAAAGATACCAGAGAAAAAACCCAACCGACAGTAGTGACCACCAAACTCTCACGGAATCCAGTCCCAGAGCTCTTAACACAACTCCAGGGAAACTAGCAAATGTTTGTAACATATCAAGTCCATATAGAAAACTGACGAGTACATAGTTTTATCGTCGTGGTTTTTTTTTTGCCTTGCAATTGTTCTCCACAATAAAGATTGTTCCTGATTTCATACCTGTGTCAACAAAGTGTACTGAACACCCAAGAATTAGAATTGCTAGAAT